AAAAAAATTTCTTAGTGTGACACTTTAATGTAACACAAAAAAAAAATCTGAATGTATTTTTCTCAAACGTAACACTTCAAAAAAAATCTCATTAGTGTAACACTTTAATGTAACACATAAAAAAAACTCATTAGTATACTTTTCTTAAACGTAACAATTTAATATATTTTTTTCAAACGTAACACTAAAAAAAAAGGATGTGGAATTCTTCAAATCATTCTAAAATGAGTACAAAAATTATTTAGTAAGTTTTGAGCAGATGTATAATTTCAAATTGTGAGTGTTACATTTAAAAAAGTGTGCTAAGGAGTTTTTAGTGTTTTTGTGTGTGTTACATTGGAGTATGCTATATTGGAGTGTTACGTTTGCGATTACATTCATTGGAGTGCTATGTTTGGGAAAAATACACTAAGAATTTTTTTTTTTTTTGTATTATGTTAGAGTGTTACGTTTGAAAAAAGTATACTAATAAGTTTTTTTTCTTAGTGTTATATTGTTATGTTTGGAAAAAATACACCAAGAAATTTTTTAGTATTTTACATTGAAGTGTTACATTTTGGTTCGTAATGGGAGATTTGTTCCACAAAGAGGGAAAATCCAAAACTTCTATAGTGCGGATTGCTTAAATGTGTAATTTTACATTTAGAAAAATCCACTTTTATCCCTAAAAAATTAAACCAAAACATGTAAGTGACTACCCTTTTGTGTAATTTCTACTTTAATGGGACTTTTGGATTCATAAGAAAAAAAAGGACTAAATAGTTTACAATATCACATTTTGAGATTTATTATTGCTTCATCTAAAAAAAAATAATTAACATGAGTTGCATCTCCGAAAATTCTCACCTTTTTGTAATTTTTCCCCCCACCTCTCACTGAATAGTAATTTCTCCTAAATTTTTATGAATCTCTTCACTTTCAACAATTTATGAAAGATTGAACAAGGAAAATTATATGGAAAATTCTTTTTTGAGTAAATAAGTCATGAAATAAAATAAGAAAACTAACAAGAATACAAAAAAAATATATATATATATCCCAGGCCGTACCAAAACTATACAAAGCAAACCAACTAAAACCTATCTGCTACCAAATATCTAACTAGCAGCCACATAACTACAATGTTCAGAAGCATAAATCTAGCTAGCAGACTGGCTTGCCTCCAACCATATTCAGAAGTGCACACAAAAATAAGCCAATCAATGTTATGTGTTCCATAGCAGCCACATACACCAATATACATGGAACTAAAAGAAAATAAAACAAGATCCCAAGCACAACCCGCAAAAGAATAGGTAGAAGTCTTAGAACATGAGCAGAGGACCAGTTAGAATTCAACTCCATACTTCCTATTGAAAATTCTTATCACTAAAACAACACTTTTAAATTATACTCAATAACACTGACGGTTATATATCAATTATTGATTTATTTAAGAATTAATCAATTAAGACTCAGCCCTCCTTATACCATGTCAATATAGATAAATGTGATATTTTTCGAATCTCTAGTATTACTCAAATCTATTGATGTACTAACTACAACAAAATACCTCATGATTATTATTATGGGTTTGCATTAGGGTTGTGCAAACATCTACCAGACCCGCTCAACCAGAGCTCAAATAGACAATGTTGATGCAACAGGCGAGTGGATGCAAGTATGATAATTTTCAAAAAAATCGGATTTTGGTCAAGTACTAGATATGTAGAATTCCATCCCCGTAATCCGACCTAACTATATGAAGTTAGGTTTTCAATTAAAACATATCTACATATTATTTATATATTATATTTATTTGCTAAATTATTGCAAATGACTTTTTTTTTTTTTTTTTTTTTAATTTTTTTTTTTTTTGACAGAATAGGCCCAAACATAAGTCCTTAAAAACAAAAAGGAGAAAAAGAATTGGGAAAAAGGCCCAAAGAAAGCCCTAAAGAAAAATAATTGAGCAATTGTTAACCTTATCTGTATCCACTCTGTCAATTTTGAAATCATGAATAATCAGCTGTAGATGAGATTTTTTTAACCTAATCCCATGTGATCAAGCGCAGCATAACATGTGCATCTCTGACCCTGACCCTGACCCTGACCCTAACCCTGACCCGGGAGCAATCTAGGTTCTCACCACCCATCAATGTATGGTATTCTTCAACTCATTGTTAATCTAGAAGATGATATAAAAAAACAAATTGTAAAATTAATTTTAATTACATAACACGTTGGAATTATTTAGCTATATCTCAATTGATGCAATCCATTAGCCATTAAAGTATGAATATGTTGGTTCCAATTTTATCCAATCTCTCTGAAGAGACAAAAGTATGAATATGTTGCAATATAATCTTTCAACATTTTGTTTCTAATCATAGTCATCTGTGTTGAGTTTTTCAATTAAAAATAATAAACATTGTTAATCTTGTGTGCGTTTTACAGCGATGTGATCATATTTTAGTATATTTCGATTGTATATATGCCTACTTTGACTGTATTATTGTTGACATTACCTAAATAAATTGACATTTTTAGGCAGATTAGTAAGTCAAAGAGCATCTTTTTATTTGGCATGACACCCTCCAAGCTACCATATTGAGTTTAGATAATATTAATAAAAGAATAAAGATTCAATTGTGATTGAACGATTATGAAAATGTTTTTTCTAGAATAAAAGATTATAAAAAAATAAAAATAAAAATTGTCCAATTTGGTTGTGTGATTAGAGATAAAATTTTAAGAACCAATACATGAGTATGGGATTTATTATAAGGTAATAAATAATTTTTGATACATAAATATTAGGAATCAGAATTTTATATGAGATTCGTCAACATAATTTAAATTAATGAATTGTGTTAGGGTTGAACACGCATAATCCAAATATGACCCATCCAATCCATGTAAAAATTTGTATCGACATATACATGAGTAATTCAAATGTAGACATGAATCCATTAATTTAGACACGTACATGTCGATACAGAGATAAAAATCTGTATCGACATTACATGTAGACATGAATCCACTATTGACTTTTAAGTAACCCAAATGTAACTTGAGTCTAATAACCAATCTTAAATTGTTTATTTTCAACCATTGGATTAAATTTTGGTATTAGAAGGAAACATGTTTTTTTTATTTTTTATTTTTTATTTTTTAATTTTGTTGGATGTTTGGATATTAATGGATGCTAGTAATTCATATTGGATGCCTTACCTAATTTCAAGATAATTGCTTGTCTCCTAATTCAACTCCCTCTTAAGAAAAGTTAAACTCATAACTTCTCCTTTGTAACTAAACCATTAGATTAGGAGAGTTAGGATGCCTCGTTGGTTATCATGACTTTTACTTGAGATTAATAATATGAAAAAACAAAAGGACAAATTACACCAATGATTTGTTTAGTTTGTCACTTGTGTTAAGTGGATTTATATGGTTTTAATTCTATCAATTTTAAATTTTAATATGTTATATTATATTAATTTAATTAAATTAATAATATTTCTTAACCTAGTCATCTCTCCAACACCAATATCCCCCTCTGCTTCCATTCCATATATGTAATTTATAATTAGTTTAAATTTTAAAAAATCATTACATTCATCATGGAATGATATAATGAAATTTCTCCATTACAAATATGCAAATGAGAGGATCACAGACCCTATTTTAGTTTTGTAAATAATTTTTATTTAAGTTTTTGAATAGTTATTATCAATAGGATAAACATAATATAAATAATTCAAGACAAAATTGACAAAATTTGAACTAAAATGACCAAATTAAAACAAGCTATAAAAATCACTCCTAACACAATAATGGGAAAAGTAAAAAAGGCATGTTATAATACATTTTTCTCTTTGATTTTAGATCTAGACAGTGGAGCGTGTTGTCGGACTCATATGACTCATCACGAGTTCCATTTTGAATTATTTGAACTATTTATTTTGTAAAATTTTTTGTTCATATCATCTATAAAAAAAATTAAGTTATTTTGATAATTTTAACTTGTTTAAATTTGGCCTGAAAAGAAGATCAACGCTTAATGTAAATAAAACATTGATAAAAACATAATTTCAATCGTGGTACTACTAATTTTTCTTTAATTAGGAAAACATAATTTCACTTGTTTGTTATAAATTAGGAAAATGCGTTCTATTATTATTTTTCTTTAAATTACTCTAAAAATAGATGTGTGTATGATATAAATTTAAAATCAATAAATATGAATTATACTTAAAATAGTTATAGTCTATAAATATAAAATTTTAAAATATTTTTCTAAATATATAATATTATTATATATAAAGACGCAAATCTAGGTCGGCCAAAAGTTAATGAAAAGGTGATGCTCCACGTCACGACGAGGCAAAATGCCCTTTTGATCCTCAACAACCTACCCTCCTTTTTTATTTTTATAAAAGCAAATATTAGAGTAAAAAAGGAAACCCACCCTCCTTTTGTATACTAATACACACTCTCACCTGAGATCACATGAGGCACACTAAAGTCAACAAGTGCTCAAAATAAATAATTAAAGTTAAAAATTAAAAATTTAATACATGAAAAAAATTCATTTTATATATGATTAATATCATAGTATTAAATTTAGATATTAAAGTTTGGCTCAATTGTCTAATAGTTACACCTTGAGATGTGGTGAGAAAGAGATTAAGAGTTGGAATTGATAAAATCGCAGTGAATCTAAATTTAAATTTCTACTATATATTTAATTTATGATATTTTTCTACTACATAGCATTTGTTGACATGATCAAAAACATTGCAACAACACATGTATGGAACAAATTGACATTTTTTTTTTCATTCTATTATTCTCTTTGTTTTTTTTTTTTTTTTTTTTTTTCACCTAAGTTAAGCTCTCTTCAGCTCTATCTAGCAATAAATATACATTCAACTTTCCAAACTTGCAAAAACAACACCTTCCCCTTCCTTTCCTATACCCTCTCCTCTCTCAACATTCACACAACACAAAAAACAAAATGTTACAAAGCTCCAATTACCCTTACTTTCTTACTACACTCCAATGCCAACAACTCCATCTCTCTCATCCTCTTCCCTCCACAATTACTATCAAGACCACCACTAATTGGTACCTTAAATATATTAACCCCAAACAACCTAACCATCTGAACCGGCTGAACAACCGGGTTCGACCCGTTCCTGGGCTTCCAGTCGATGAAAAGCTGGTTATCCGAACCGGTGGACCGGTAAAAGCTGACAATGTCACCGGCTTTCAAGCTCTTCTCTTTCACGAACCGGCTCCACCCTTTGGTCAGCACATAGCTCTGGCTACTATTCCAATACGAGTATCGAAAGCGCCACACTTTCCCGGCGACATCCTTGAAATTCAACAACACGCCTTTCGAAGTGGTTTCGCTCTGCAGAGGAAAGTGCTTCTCGGCGTGTTGTTTCGGTATCACCAGCCTGTTTAGCTTCCCCACGTCACTAGGCGTGACGGCTTTTTCAAACAGCTGTTCAGTTGCTTTGACGTTGTTTTTATAATTAGTAGTGGACTTTTCATTACAACACGCTTTTTTGTTACCATTGTTGTTTATGAAGCCGCCGATGTAGTTTTTTCGGCTCTGCTCGAGCTCATCGTTGTACGTGTGTTTTCGGAGCATGTCAACGATCTCGGATTTCGAGTGGGAATTCAAGAACAAGCTCTCTAATTCGTCTTGCTCTTCGTTTTCCGACAGCGGTTTGAAGTTTGTTACGGCATCGCGGCCTCGAAAGCGTTGGGCCGCGATGTCGTAAGCCCTTGCGGCTTCGTCTTCTTCGTTGAAAGTTCCCAGCCAAACTCGCTGGTGCTTCTCGTAAATCTGGGCGCCCCACCGGCCGTTGGGTTGCGGGACGACGCCTTTGAACCTCGACGACGGAAGCTTCCGGGACTCTGCCTCGGCCCCGCCTTCCAAAGAGTCGAGGATCGCGCTCGTCCCGCTACCGACACGGCACAGACTCTTTGGTGACGAAGCCTTTGTCTTCGTCGCCAGTAGAATCGATGTTGATGCTGATGCCAGTGTGATTGATAGAGAGTCACTTGTTGTGCTCTCATCTATGCAACTACCATCCATTTTGTTGGTGTATGAGAGAGAGAGAGAGAGAGAGAAAAGTCAGTGAAGGAGAGAGAGAGGAGGACTATGAATTGGGTTTGATAGCAGGTTGAATATATATAGGAGGTACCCAATAAATCTGATTAATTTATTGAATTGTTTGTTAGTACAAATTGCATGTAGTTTTTGGGTAAGGATAATATATAAATATAAGAGGCAAGACATTAAATTATTTATTTAATAAAATATTTAAAACCTATAACATTTTCATGGTGGGTCAACCCAAGAGATGGTGAGGAACTAGGAAGATTCATGGAGAGAGAGAGAGCCCAAGAGATGGTGAGGAACTAGGAAGATTCATGGAGAGAGAGAGAGCCCAAGAGATGGTGAGGAACTAGGAAGATTCATGGAGAGAGAGAGAGCCCAAGAGATGGTGAGGAACTAGGAAGATTCATGGAGAGAGAGAGAGTTGGAAAAATAAGTGGAAATTTTAATTAGAGTTATCATTAATGATGTGGTAGTGAGTTTCATTTATGGTCACAGTTTGTATTGTGTTTGTTTTTTTGTTTTTTTACTTCGCCACCTTATTAGTGGTAAATTTAAAATCACTAAATTAATGATCTCTAACATCACTGCTGCGGTCTGTCCCAAAAGTGGCTTTGTCCTATTTTTCAAAATAATTATAGTCGTTAGATTATGTTTTATTTTTGTTAAAATTTCAAAATAGAAAATAAAAAATTTTAAAAACAGAATATCTCATTCCATAAAATTTTAACTTATTAGTAAGAGGCATTTAAATTTAAATTTGTGAATTTGTACCTAGATAATCTTGTTTATTTTCTTATAAGTGAATAAATATTGTGAATGTGTACTTAGAAATTTGGGAATTGGTGGTTGTTTTATTTTCATTAAATTAATTTTTATTTTTTTAAAAAGTTAAATATGACGACAATTTCAATATCATTATTAAACCAATCCATTAAATTAAAAAATTTAAAACTAAAAATAATTTATTACATGATCATCATCCAAACACATAATAAAAATTAATTTGATAAAAAAAAATGCATAAAAGATTTATCAATTTTACAAAATTTTATTTTTAGTGGGTAGAAATAATTTTTTAAATTTTTTTTAAAAAAATTTAGCATTTATTTTTGTTAAATTAGTTTATATTTTATCAAATTGACTGCTTTGCTTTTGAAATTGAGCAATGATATTTTCAATTGTCTTTATTTAGAACAAAATTCAAAATTTAGGGTTAAATGTGTCACTATTGAAAGTCAAGGACTAAAGTGACAAAATCCATGTTGACTATGAAATTCTTAAAAAATAAAAAAAAAATACTGTCGAAATTGACGTAAATAATAACATATTATTCTATTTGACAGTAATATTTTACTCTGTTCCGTAATAATATATTACTCTAATTTATATATAACATATTACTGTTAAAAAAAAAAAAACATAGTTAGTGTAGAATTTATTATATTTTTGTTTAAATTTAAGAGTTGACTCATATGATAATTTAGTGTTTGCAATATTATTGATGAAAAAATAAATGAAAATCAAAATGTTAAGAGGGTAAGAAAGTATGTAGGTGTTGTGGGCAGTGTATAGGATGTGGGGCCCACAGTTATCAAGTTGGATGGGGGGTTCACATGACTGTAATGTAATAAGCCCTGTGGACCGCGTTTTAGCTCAAGTTCATCCCCCCCTGAGCTTTGCTGCTACCCCTGCCCACCATCAGCATGGTCTCCTCTCTCTCTCTCTCTCTTTCTCTCTCTATAATGTTATATATATATTGGTGTATTAAAAGCAACAACAAATAATAGACAGAAAGATTTTGATGAAAGTATCAATATAAGATAAGATAACAAACAAAGGAATAAATATATATCTGTGTAAAGAGAGAGAGAGTGAAAGTGAGAGAGAGAGAGAAAGGGGGGTTATAATCTGCTTGCTTCCACTTGTATGGGTGTGATGGGCCAATGTTAATGAGGAGATGGATAAACTTGAAGGCCAAGCTCATCACCAACAAGAAAATTCCCCATAATAAGTCTTACCTGGCATGATTTGATTCGTCCTTGTTTTAATCTCTTTATTTTTGTCTTATTGTCTAGGTTCAATTCAATCTTAGTATCTCCTCAAAATTCAATTTCATAATTTTCCCAAAAACCTACATTTGACATTTTCCTTCCCAAGTGGCCAATTTTCTTGTTTTGTTTCACAATTCTCATCCCCACTCCACTTCACACCTTGCAATTTATTCAATGTTTCTGGAGCAAAATTTACTACTATATATTAGTGATTAATTTAAAGATAATAATATTTTTAAAACGTTGAATGATTTTTTTTACTTCTACGCGTGCCATTTTATTTTGACTGGAAGTGACATTTAATTTGTTTTAGTGTTTTTTAAATTTGTACGGAGATTTGACATTGAGCTCTCTCTCTTCATTGATATTTTGAAAAAAAGTTTATGACTTGTCTTCTTTCACAATTCATTTGTGTTTCGATTAAGAAAAAAATAAAGAAGTAATAATTGCCATTTGATTCATAAAATATCTCAAAATTGCGCCCTTAGATGATCTTAACCCACGTGGTCAATACATCATCACCATGTTTAAGTCGATTGCCCTAATGTAACTTGTTTAATGGTAAAGGTGGGCAAAGGAACATGTAAATTTCTCTGGGCTACATTGCTTGTAAATTGTAATAATAACTCCATATAATATTTCCTTTATTTGACAACCTCTAAATAAATTGTTTTCAATTAAAAAAGTCAGGATTAAAACCCTGTTTGATTTGGTTAAATAAGTGATCTCTTCATAATATATATATTTTTTAGCATCACTGTATATTTGTATAAAGATAATCCTCGTTAATTTAACATAATTCATATTGCTCGTCAGTCGACATATGCGTAACTTGCTTCGAACACTCAGTCATTGAAGAAAAAAAAAATTTCATGCTATAATTTTTCATCAAAAAGCATAAGTTTGAAATAAGTCACAAAATTTTGTTTCATAAGAAAGAGTAATTTTTTTTAACAAATATACCAAACAGGTTAAATTTTTTAAAAACTAAGAAAAATATTTATCAAATCTATCAAAATCAACAATAAATCAATAACACAAAATACATATAAAACAATATGAGTGAAATAATTTGATGTATGTGACCATGATTCTATTATTTTGGTGATTCATTTTATAATGGCAAAATGTGCATAAAATTATTGATAGAATAGATAATGATATTAATAGTGATGAAGATCAAGGAGCGATATTTATAGTGATTCTTTGTACGGACAAGTCCACGGTCTCTCAAAGGCCCCACAAGCAAGTTGATCAAAACGGAGTGCCTAAGACGGTGTTGCCAGATTGGTGGGTTAGAATGGGTTTGCTTTTGATTTTTTAATTTTTTTTTATAGATTATTTTAGTTTGGAATAGGAAGGATTACACTCACTTTCTTAAAATTTATATTAAAAATTGTAATTAACCTTATATCTTTTAAATAATTATGAAAGATTGGTAAATATTAAAATAAATAAAAATAAAAATATGTTTTAGTAGATAAGAAATGATAATATCATTTTTTATGGGTAAATTACATTATTTTTTTCCTGAAGTTTGAAAAAAAACACAATAAATCTTATAATTTTAATATAATTATACAAACTTCTCTTTTAATAAGGTTAAAGAGATCAAAATTCATATAGATAATATGCAAACATAAGAATAAATAAGAAAGAATATATATATTTCAGTACAAAAGTAATAACAATATCATTTTTTTAATTTAAATAACTAATAAATTGTTGATGAAGAGATAGTTAAGTGTTATTAAAAATTTAAGAAAATCCAGTGTAATTTTGTCAAAATTATGGAACTTATTTTATTTTTTCCAAACCACAAAGGAGATCAGGGTAATTTTTACTCTTTTTTCATACATTAATGAATTATTAATAAAAAAAGACTTAATTATTATGTAAATTAAAACTTAAGAAAAGTTAATGTAATAATGTCAAAAATATGAATATAATTATATTTAATTTATCCAATAATAATATAATAACACATTTGGCTGTGATTTGTGGTTGTTAATTAGGTCCCACATTAAAGATTCTCTTTTGTTATAATTCTTTTCTAAAATGCTCATGAGGTCTAATAAAGTGGTGTTTTGAGAAATTGGTAAAAAGTTAATTTTTTAATTTTTTTTTGTGACTTTTTAACTTCATCGTATGAAAAAAATAAAAAAGTGATATGAATAAAAAAAGTTAAAAAGTCAAAAAATTGACTTTTTACTATGTTGCCCAAACGTCCCAAAATGCCATTGAGATCGAAAATCCTTTTATTTTATTTAATTTTTTTGGGGTTTATTCTAATTTTATTTAATTAGTATTTATACATAGTAATATATGCACGTATATGTAACAGTAGATGTACAGTATTGACGTATGTGATATGAAAAAAAAGTTAACCAAACAGGTTAATCAAACAAGTTTTATGTTTTGAAATGAATTTTTAAAAATTCTAAACTCAAACAAATTTTGAAATAAATTTTTAAAAACCTTCAATTAAACAAGTTTCAAATTTTAAATTTAAAAAAAAATTAAATCAGACGGAGCCTTTGCGTTGCTTGTCATTGCCACTCCCCACAAGTTGGAAGAAGTGAGGTTTTAGAGACAAATAACAGGATGGGTATGAAGTCTATCATCACCAGTAGAGCCTACCTCTAGGTCAAAACAGTTCATCTCATTATCATCAACTCTATTGTGAAATATCTGTAATATATTATTCAAAGGTAACAAAATGGTAAAATTACCTAAATCACCTTTAAGTTTCTTCTTTTATGTTTACACCACAATAAAATAAATATATTTTTTAATACAATTTCATCTGTAATTAAAATTACTAAAAAAAGTACCTAAACTCTAAAATTTTGAAACCCTAACTTTATTGCCCCTCTGTTGCCGCCCACCACTACCACCCTTTTTTGTCTTTGTTGCCTCCTCTGCTGCCACCCACAACACCTTTTCCTTTCTTGACCGCTATTCCAACTATAAAAGATGGAATTTAGAATATTTAACAGGTGAAGAAAATAGAGTCGCTTCCCT